AAGAAGGCCCTCCCCCGGGTAATAGCCAGGTGGCATTGGCTGGTAGATGGCACCCGGAGGAGGCATCTAATGGGTCTGTGGGAGGTAATTGGCAGCAGGCGGTCTCTCAAGTATTGAGATATATATATAGTTGATTCCATTCTTTGTGCTAGATAATATAATTAAACAATAGGTATCCACAAGACAAAAAAGGAAAGTTTATTAAAATCTTAACAACTTAATGAGAAAGATTATATGAACATGTAAACTGGAAATAACATGTTCAAAAACATTACATAGAAATTATGGCTCACCCCACATTTTATACATTTAGTTGTGCAAAGTCGTGCTATCACTTCAAGTCTTCCAAGTTTCACCCAATTTCGGGACTGATTTCTGATGAATGTAAACTTATTCAATTTACCCAGGGTTCCAACTAATATATAAGGGGGCATCTGCATTTTCATCTTTTATTCCCCAAAAGTTCAGTAAGTATACTTTCAAGGTAATATATTGAAAAGAATAAAGCATGTTTTAGCTTTTAGGTGTTCTCTGAAATGTCAGATGGAATCCAATTCAATTGGCAATGGCTTTCATTAACACAAAAAGAGGGAAGGATTATCTCTGTGTTCTTTAATACTAATTTGCCCCCACCCCAAATATATAAGGGGGCATCTGTATTTTCATCTTTTATTCCCTAAAACCTCAGTAAGTAACTTTCAAGATTTATATAAAAATACTAATGGGGGAGTTACAAAAGTTTGGAATTTTGTCACCATCAGAATATTGATAATGACACACAGGTTTTTCTTTGTTTGTTTCATTATACTGATATCCTGCCTTTTCTTCATAAGCTCACAGAAATGAACAAGTTATTTAACTGTAAAAAGAATTTTGACTACCATTGGGATGCCTGGACCCTTCCAAAGATTCTTCATGTTCTCTGCCTTCTTCACTCTCCAGGAGACCTTGATGGTCATGAAGTAAAGGGGACTGGCATCTTTAAATAGAAAGAGAAAGCGGTGGATTTTCTCATTCACTATGAAAACTACTTAGTTCATATGAACCACTTATTGCTCCCATGGCATAGCATTTAAAATATTATTTTTATAAGATGACTGAACCAAAAAAAGCAAATTTATTGGTGATTAATACAGTTTTTGCTGAATTTGAAGGATTGTTCATTTAATAATGATATGGATAGAACTGAATATTTTCGAATCTCTGAGGGGACCTTGGTGCTCTCTGAGCTTGGTTGTTTTCTTGCAGATGTTTCAATACTCAAACTAGGCAGCTACAGATGTTCCAGTCCCTGACAGCCACTTAAATCTCAATCCACAATAATTCTGAAGCTGTAGATAAATTCTGAACTGTTTGAAGACTCCAAACTTGACTGAGTTAAGAACTGGATCAGTCAAGCCAAGGAGGCGTATCCAAACAATTCAACTCAGTCTCAGGGTTAATAGGCAGAAGTTATAACCCATGCATGGAGTTTCCAAGCAGTGCACAGGAGAACATTTCATTACCCAAACTAGGTATCACCATCAATGCTAGTGATGCACTAGCACTGATAACGTTACTTAGTTTGAGTAATGAAACATCTGCAACAAAACAACCAAGCTCAGAAAGCACCAAGGAGTCTTCATTTCAACCCCAAGCTATAAATATTCTGCTTTAGCAATAGCAACAGCACTTAAGACTTATATACCGCTTGACAGTGCTTTACAGCCCTCTCCAAGCCATTTACAGTGTCAGCATATTTGCCCCCAACAATCTGGGTCTTCATTTTACCGACCTCAGAAGGATGGAAGGCTGAGTCAACCTTGATGGTCAGGATCAAACTCCTGGCAGTGTGAGCAGAGTTAGCCTGAAATACTGCATTCTAACCACTGTGCCACCACGGCTCTTCTTTTCCAATCTCTATTAGCTGATATCTGCATTTCATTTATGCTGGATTAGTACGGTTCTCCTCCTTTTAGCTAAGTAGCAATGCTTCATAACAGCTTGTATTCAAAGGCAAAAAGGTACTTTGCAGCACACAGGGGCACAAATAAAGTAAAAGGCAACTGCTTTTAAGGCAGAGACACGTGGGAATTAATTCTGAATTTTCAGAGATTGAGAAAAGTGAAAATTGAAGCTGCTAATTTATTTCTGCAAGAATGTTATCTCCTTCAACAAAAACTTTCCTAGAGGCTCTCACAATGGTTGAATGACTGGAAAACTGATGGAACTAGCAGAGATGTCTACACACACACACACACACACACACACACACACACACATGCACGCACACGCACACAAATATATACATATACATATAATAAAAATCTTTGAGTTTTGCTGATTAGATAAGCTTGTTGTTACGGAAATGGCTAGTGAATTTTAAGAATGTAAAAGAAAAACGTTGAGGCAGTAAGGTTATTATTTTATCCTACTGTGCTAAAAAGCATCAGAACTCAATACTTTTCTTTAAATTTCCTCTTTACACGTCTTTCTTTCCCTTTTCCCTTTCCCCTTTACCCCCTATTTTCATTTTCATTTGTATTTCATCTTTTGATAACCTTTATAAAATTATTTCAATTTCATGAAGGCTTATAGCCGTAAAGGCTACAGGCTATAATAAAGGCTACAAGCAGTTTGAATGTTTTACATATATATTGTTCATTATGTATTTTTCACAATCAAGATATAAAAAATAACAAGTACCCATCATATCCTACTTGATGCCTCCACTGACTACTCCCGCTTGGTCCTGGATCACTGGAGGATGATTGGTTGCTTGGAGAACTTCTGAAATAATGAGCAATTTAAGATGTGGCGAGATATCTGGTAGGCATCCTATTAGTTTAACAAAATTCTTCATGAACAAATTTTATATTTAAGCATATGAAGCATTCATATACAATAGTTTTAACACTTAAACTATGTAATGGGTGAGACTTTGGTACTCATCATTAATTGGTTCCAGGATGCGCGCTGAATACCGAAAATGGCGAATACCAAACAATTTTCTCCCATAAGGAATAATATATTAATCACGAGACAACTGGCAATGACAAGTCTGAGTCGCGTACCAAGCAAACAACAAGTTCTGGGACAAAAATGTTGAGCCAAAATGCATCAAGTAACAAATTCAATGAACTTCAAAGCAGGTGAGTATCTAAATACCAGTATATAAACAACTATAATAATCAGGCACTCAACCTGATTTATGTCCCAGTGACTCATTTATAACATTCATTCATTTATGACTTCCAGTGACTGATTTATGTTCCAAAAGACTCATGGTTCCAGTGAAAAGCACTGAAACGTTAAAAGAATACACATTCTCCATGCCCTCTTCACATCAGTGTTTGTTAATAATCAAACTACTTCACAATTAATGACATCTTATATAATGAATTATAAGGATAATAAAATTTATTAGTAATTTATTAAAGTAATACATTTACTTCAATGTTGTGCTCTTCCAAAAATATATTCCTTCATTAAACAACGCATTGGACTATTTTCAGACTGCATTACAGTAACTCTTAATGAATACTGAGCAAGGAAAATCATATTCAGTCTCCCATGTACAGTGGAGGCATTATATTAAATACTAATATGCTTTCCATTGAGAAAATGTATAGCAGACCGCTCTGTAAAAAATGGCAACCACAGTTGCCAGCAAACATCAGGAAATCTATACTCTAGACATTCTTACTAAATCCTGAAACCCAAAATTGCCTAAATTAGAATCAAATTTATTTACTGTGAAATAGTTATTCATTTTTATTTCTCAAGAAGACCTATTCTATTCTATTGGTTAGTCAGGTCAAAAGAAACTTGTTAGTTTTTATATTCCAGGCACAGATATGCATTAAAATTGCATCTTCCTTTTAGTATCAATATTACCAGCATTGACTATTGTTTGCTTCCAGGAAAAAAAAATACAGCGGACAGAGCCCAGGCTCACTTGATACAGCATTTAGAAAAAATAATCTGGAAGAGCATGTATTACCTTGCGCCATCTGGAAGCTTTCTGTCAAAAGAGGTGCTGCGAGGAATAGCAGTTTGTGCCTGATGAAGAAGCTGCTGGCAATGCAGTCTGTCAGTTGTTCCTAAGATTGGAGAGGCACGAGAGAGAGGCTGCCCAGCAGAGGTTGGCACCCTATGCCAAGTAGTATTCCTCCTGAAAGGAGTTTTATACTCACATGGGGTGCCTTCGCTGTCAAGTTTGTACTCCACCATGGGAATTCGACAGAGTTCTGAGCATCCCCTACGGCAGAGGTGAACATCGCAATGAATCACAAAGGTATTTTCTACCATAACAATGATGTCCCCTTTCAACTATGTAAGTTTAATTTATTACCACTGGCATATTCATACAAGTAGATTGCAAAGTGAAGAGCAGTGAATTCATAATTCCATGAAATATAAGGTGCATGCTTGGTAGATAATTAACTGTCTGCTAAATAAAAAGTGTAGTCAAGTTTTACAAACTGTGGAATTGCAAAACTTGGAAGGTTGACAGATGACATAAACCGTGGAACTTATAATAGTATTTTAACATATTGAAAACTAAGTTGAAGCAAATATGCATAGTCATGTACTATTATAATTAGTCAAATATTAAGATTGGATTTGGCATTTTTATGCACAATCGAGCTCTTTTCAAAAATCTGGCACAGCCAGAAGTTATTTGATAGGTATTGTCTCAATGTCTCAGCATGTATGCTGTTCCAAGTAAAGCTGCTTTTTGAAATTGACCAATTGGGATTTTGTCATTGCCAATAGTGTTCATGTAGTCCTCCAGTAGTTTTCAGATTACCTCCAAGTGCCTATTGCTATTTGCTTTATTTTGCCCTAACCATTCTACTTCTATTTGTAGGTTTTTGCATTTTGTGATTTTCTCCAGTTCTTTTTCTTCCATTCTACTGTCTCCCAGTATTGCAATATCTACTATCCAGACTTTCTTGTTTTTCTAATCTAACGTTAAGTCTAAGGTGCTTTGTGATAGATTGTCTGTTTGAATTCTAAGGTCCTAGTGCACTTTAGCTTCTTTTTTTTATTACTTTGCCTGTTTTGTCATTCTACATTCTTGAAGGCAAATGGTATTTCTTGTAGATCTTCCAATGCACCATTGTTGCTACTTTGTCATGATGTCCTTTGAAGTCAGTCTGTGAAATCTTCTTGCACCAGCTAATTAGGGTGATCCACTGTTTCGTCAGCTTCTTTACAGAGGTAGCATTTACTATCTGTTGCTGTTTTCTCAATTTTGGCTTTATATGTGCTGGTTCGTAAGGCTTGGTCGTGTATGTAGCCAGAATTAGCCCATGTGTCTTCTTCTTCAGTTTTTCTGCTCTTAGCATTGCCAAATGTTGTCATTGTCTGCTTTGCCTGTTTTTTATGTACCAGTCATGTAATACTTTGCCTTTTCATGTCTTTTTCTATTCTTATTTTCTTGTAGGCAGTTTAGTCTCTTCAGTGTTCAGTAAGTCTTCATGTATACTAGCTTCAGTGACTTTGTTTCTTCTTCACTATCCTTCAGATATTCTTCCAATGCCCTTTTTCTTCTTCAATTGTCTGCGTATTTGCAACATTCCATGCCTATTTTCCTTGGTTAGTAGTTTATCAGCATCCTTGCATGGATGAAGATCATGATTCATTGTGAAAATAATGAATAAGTAAATAACCTTTCTATCCAGATCTTTTAGTTCTACTTCAGTCCACTATTTCAGCTGTGTACCTAATGACTGTAATTACCCAGGTAATAATTGTCAGGATGGTATTTCCTCCACTGAGTTTGAACTTTAAGATCACTTGTAACTTCTTCTTGACTTCAGAGTGTTTGAGGTTGTCAGCTTGAAGGTTACATATGTTTTTATAGTGATCATCTTCAACTAGAGTCCTGATGTTCTTTATGTATGAAATCTTGAGACCTTCAGTTTTCAGTATTTTTCCCTTGATGATGGTGAGGGTACCATATATGTCTAGTCCAAACTCTATTGCAATATCTTTGCAGTATGTATAATCAGTATTGAGCAACAATTCTACTTCTGATGATGTTTTTCAATACTGCTTCAGTTCTCCACATAAAAGGAGATGGGATAGTTTGGCATATATTTTTGATGTTTGACAGATATGGTCTGACTATTAATAGAGGAATCAATACAACGACAAACAGTGATAGTGAGAGTGAATCTCTTTGCAAGATACAAGGACTCTAGATATTAACATCTTCCCGTCTATCACCATTCACCAGCAACTATATCTTTCACTGTGCCATTATTCTTTGCACAAAGCTTCTGATGTTCCTACTTTTCTTGTTTAATTCTAGGCTTTTGATTATCCAAGTATGTGGCATGGAGACAAATGCCTTCTTGTAATCAATCCAACTTATGTTCAAGTTGGTCTTCGTTCTCTTGCAGTTTTCCAATATCATCTTGACAATTAGGAGTTGATCTTTTGCTCTTCTACTATTTGGGCAAAAATGGACCATGGCGGGTTCTTCCTCCTCCTCCTATTATTATTATAGACTTTATTCATTAAACATGAAACTCAGCCAACGGAACATTCAAAAATGCATCACAAATACCATTGATTGGTGCTAATGGTTGATACGGTTTGCTGCCAGTATCCTAGGTATCAACCAAGTACCTTCTTAAAATATAAGATGTTCTGAGTAGTGTAGTTTTTTTGCAGTTCCGCTGGTGTTATTGCAGGAAGCTGCAATTTGTTGATGTATCTTGTAAAATTCTTGGACATGGTGCCAAGTGCCCCGATGACTGTTACATCCTTCATCCATAACCATGTGGCCAGGTCACGATATTTCATGATTTTTTCTAGTTCTTTTTCTTCGACTCTGGCATCTCCAGGAACAGTGATATCAATAAAGTATACTCTTTGGCCCTCTACAACCATGATATCTGCCATATTATTATATAATTGTATCACAGCAGCCAGTTGTTGGATTTGGCATTGGTTACTAGTCGGGCCCCACCCAGGGGCCTAGGACGTCGTAACATATTTTCGTAATATGCATGCAG